GAGTATAATAAAATTGTGGAGCTCATATAAATCATTATGAAATATTTCTAGAGTATTTATTCTTCGTCTCTTCAACATAAATCTGGAATTCTTTCTAGTCAGCTATTCCTGCAGCAAGTGATTTTTTTTATTATTAATTATTTTTATGCTTTTCAAAGTTTTTTTTTTTTGTTGTTTTCAGTTTGGTCTGCGGCAAGGGTCTTTAACGCCAACAGATTTTAATTGCTATCGCAGCCATTCACTTTTGCATTTGCCCACAGCCGTTCTGTGTGCATATGCATCTGTGTGTGTGTGTGTGTGTGGTGTTTGATGTCACTAGCGTGTCAGTTGCCAGTTGTTGTTGTTGCCGTTGCCGTTGCCGTTGCCGTTGCTAGAGGATCCTTTTGCAATCGTGCTTCACGTTCGATTCGATTTCTCAAGAATTTGTCAGCCAGCAGCGGAGGCCGTGGCAGCTCCTTGGCTAACGGCTTAATTAATTGGCATTTCGTGTTTGGTCATTTGCTCATTTGCATGCGCTTGCCACACTGTGCGAGTTATCAGTTTGACAGGCAACTAAATTGCACTCCAGCATGCAGCTTGATGCGCTGACAGCCATCTGCATGCGGCTCGAGTCGGCCAGCTCAAAGTAAACAATCGCGCGGCCTTAGCTAGCGAATTCAATTAGAATGCTGCCGCAGGCACAGCCAAGTTGAATGCTATTTGAATGGAATTTGATTGAAGAACTAAGCCATCCATTCAATATATACGATATGAAAACTCTGAGAAATGAATTCAACTCAATTTCAGCTTCAGGAGAAAACCCAGCTGAGACTCGCCCCTCAACACTCTCAGCCTGCTTGGATGCTCTGCAATTCGGCAAAACTACGATTTCAATCCAAGTAGGCACTGGAATTTCGCCTTTCGAGGCAGTCTACGTAAAGGCAGAGCTCATTATTTCAGAATCAGAACTGGTTGTGCATGTGTACAAACAAAAATAAAATTCTCGGAAAAAATAGGAAAAATAAATTTCCTGAAAAATTTTCATTTTTTTTGGCATCCGGTTGAAAAATTCAAAGTACAACGAAAATAAAATAGTACAAAATCACAAAAATTCAAAAAGTCCGAAAATAAAATCAACATCAAAATTACAAAAGTTTTTCACCAAATTCGGTAAATCAATTCGCGTAATAAATTTCTTCGTTCGCCGCGTTCAACCAGTTTCAGGTGAGTCGCCGCGATGGCTGCAGCTGCAGCTGCCCTCACTCACACTTCTCCCTCGCAGGTAATAGAAGTTTCTTTTGGGTACTGCCGCCGAACATTATGGGAAGGAGCATTTAGCTGCTGGCAACGTTTTAGATACAGTTCTTTGCGATAATCGTGTAAGATGGGAAAGGGAAAAGGCAAAGGCAAGGGCAAGGGAAAAGGCAAGAAGAAGAAGCCAACTATTGTTGCCATACCACAGCCGGTCGTCCAAGAGTGCCCCGTGTGTCCCGAGCTACCGAAGCTGATACAGCCATTGGATCCATGCCCCGAGTCAACCGGGCCACATGATGTGACCCGCGCACAGCCCAATCATTACCCGGCTCTGCTGCGTATACCGGAAACGATGGCCGTTGTTGGCTCCGAGAATGGATGCTACGATAGCATCTGTAAGCTACTGCGCGCCGGATTTCGCTGTGCGGAACGCGTCTTTGTCATGGCGCCCTGGGGCAACTATGTGGTGTTCCGGTTCCACAACAACAGCGATTTCATCTATTTCCTCTACGATGGCTGCACATGCGACGTGAATCGGTTCCGTTATCTGGACCTTAGCTGCGGCACCGCCGGCTTCCTCTTCTTCACCAACATGCACGACGTCATCAGCTACATCATACAGTCGCGCAAGACGCGCCTCTACCTGGAGAACCTCAACAAGATTGCAATCGATCAAATCGTCGAAGAATATGGCGCCGTCACATACACCCAGAAGGCCAAGTGCATGCGCTTCTCCTAGAGCCGTAGAGCTGTAGAGCCGTTGAGTCCATCCCATCCCGACTGGCATTGATGATGCTGATGGCCACAAACGGTATCCGCCATAACAGCTAACTGCGCATCGCTATCAACACTCACCTCGAATTCAAATCAAAATCAATTCCATTCATCGTAGCTCTGCTCTAATCTACCAAATTTTACACTTTTTTCGGGAAAGCGCTCTGATTATACAAAATTTTGAAAATCTGCAATAGTACAATAAATTTCATATAGACTACCAATCTATCGTCGCATTATTCTGACCGTGCTTGAGTCGGCTATAGCATTTGAATTTGAGTTTCAATTTGTATTCATCCCAACCAGGCTCGCTCAAGTACGCATATCTTTTGATCTGTTTACATTCAATCAAATAAGTATGTGCATAGTTGTCTAACCTTGCTACCACCGGCTGACTGACGGGACAGGCGGTGCTGCGGTGCGGCGGTGCGGTGGCAACTGCCTTGTTCGCTTGGCATGTTTATGAGAATGTTTGGCTTTATGAAGTAACTACACGAATAGCAAATGCGAGCTCATTTGTGCTAATAAAGAAGCCAAAACAAACGGCAGTCATAAAGCAAATACTTATTGCAAGTGTATTAAACATTTGGAGCAGCAGCAATAGCAACAACAACAACAACAACATCGGCAGCGGCAGCGGCAGCAATTCAATGTCTTCCATAGCATGCCGTAGAGATGAAATCCAATGCTCAAGTGGGGCAGCTTGGCTCAAGAAAGATCTTGACTGCGAATGCGACTGAGCGAAACCAATTGATTTTTCAGCCGAGCTCGTTAATTAAAACAACAATCACTGCAATGTGACGGGCAGGAGGGCAGATTGCCACAGCTACAGTCGCAGTCGCAGTCGCAGTCGCAGCGCAGTCGCAGTCGCAGTCAACGGTCGAGCGAGTTAATCGCGTTGTCAAGTGCTGCACTTCAGCGCCGAATACCCCAAAAGATTGAAGACATCGCAATGTAATTGAGAAGAACTTGATTTTGGTTGATTTCTGTTGTTGTTGTTGTTGTTGTTGCTGACCTGCTGTCCATTTTGGCTGCGGCCCATCTCAGTCCCCCCATTCGTAATGCCGTGGGCGACACATTCTCCAATTGCAACTCTGCGTAGGCGTTCGACTTCAGCTGCCGAGTTCTGCCCGGCTATAAACTCCATAATTAAGTTGCCAGCGCGCTGCGCAGCGGCTCATGTTAATGTCCATCATTCGCTCGTTTAATGTATGCAAATGCTGCACTTAATTCGATTTCAAATTCAAATTCAAATACGAATTTCGTACTTGAGGAATTATTCATGGGGTTTTTCAGCAGTAGTTGGCACTCGGCTGTGATATGCACACAAATGAATTGATTATAAAGTATCTTGTTAGTGTTAGCTGTTGTTTGATTGTTGTTGCTGTTGTTGTTGTTGTTGTTCTTGTTTGCTGAACAACTTTATCATTGAATACGCAAGCTGTCAACTATTAACAGTTCAACAATTAACCATAAAAACCAAACATAGATTGCAGTAAAGCGAAATATGCAAATATATAGAGTACATCAAATCTGTTGTAGAATTCTTCGAGAGATAGAGCGAGATGAAGACAAAGATAGAGATGAGAAGAGACAGAGAGAGAGAGACAGGAGAGAGAGAGAGAGAGAGAGAGAGAGAGAGAGAGAGAGAGTGAAATATGCGTATATAAGGAGAACAAACAAGAGAGAGCAAGAGAGAGACATTAAGAGACATAGAGAGAAGACCGAATGAGAAAATTACCGAATGAGAGGATGAGAAAATGAGAGGAAAACAGAATGAGACAATAGGAAAGAGGGAGAGATGAGGAAAAGAGTGAATGCGAAGATGTAAAAATGAGAAAMAGAGAGAATGGGATAAGCAGAGCATGAGCGAAAAAGATAATCAGAGACTGATAGAGAGAGAGAGAGAGAGAAGGTGTCAAAAAGATAGAGAGAGGGAAGAAGGGGAAAGAAAGAAGAAAGTGCAAGCGAACGAGATGGCGAGGGAGTGAGACTGACCGAGATAGAGAGAGAGAGAGAGGCTGAGGACATGCAAACGACTGAGACAAGAGAGTAGAGAAAAGGGATGAGGGATATGAAACACCAAGACCAGAAACCAGAGGCAAGCGACAAGGGACTAAAGACGATAGGAGCAAGAGACCAAAACCAAAGACACATAAATGTACACATACATATATATTTGCCTGACCTGATTGGCTCAGCCTGCTTGACTCAATTCGTATCCGTGCCATGTGTAGAGTGAGTCGAAATAGTCAAAATGAGCTAAGCACTCGTCGCTTCTCCATTCCGATTCTATACGCAAAGAGACATAAATTCGTTGTCGGTCAGCTTATTATGCATTCATTGTATGGGGCTGGCACGCATTTTCATGCCTAACCCAATTATAGTGTAATAAAGGCCTTATCCGACTGTCCAATCGCGGTCTTCTGCCCGGGCTCACGTAACATTTAATTGCCTCGTGGCGCGTCTGTGCATTGTCTGTGAGCTGAAATGTCGTTTGTCTGCTCGCTGTATGTGCGCGCTGTGCCCAGTTCTCAGTCGTAATCATTAATTGGCAGCTGACACAGAAAATCATTGACAAAACGGAAGTTCATTAGGCTTTGTCTTCAGCTGGCTGCCAAACTGCGAAACTGCGAAACAGCGAAACAGCGAATCTCTGATGTAACTCACTGAGCATTTGCCCAACGTCTGGCCGTGCCCCGGCCTGTGCCATTATTATTCTTTGGACCACGAACAATGGGGCATCATCGATAAAAATGGCAAATATTTACGCAAAACTTCATGTGGTCTACGAGTGCAAAGCGAAGTCGGCCAGCAGCAGCGATTAATACAACGGGACTGAGCAGCCAAGCCGCAAATATGAAGAGCAGCTCAGTGGCATGCAACATGCAGCTGCTATTGTTATACTGAGCAGACAGACTGACGGCCTGACGGCCTGGCAGTCTGTCTGAGTGACGGACGGAGTGACTGGGTGAGTGAGCCGCACCTCTTGATGGGCCCTGCTGCCTTGCTTCAGTGCTTCAGTGCTCCAGTGCTCGAGTCGCTCAAATCTCAATCTTGACGCAATTTGCACAATTGTTTGCTTAGGCAGTTTGACCGTTAGCTGTTTGCTGTTGGCTGTTAGCCATGTCGCTTGTTATGCAAATGAATGCAGCGCGCTGGCTTTTGGCTCACCTTTGCCCACGTCTATGTCCTTGACATGCGCCACTTTAGCGTCGTTTCGTTACCATTGGCAACTGTTTGGGGCAGGCAACCTGCGTTGGTGTACGAGCTACAGTTAATCTGTGGGGGGATACGAACGGCTGAGCTTTTGGTATGCCGGCAGGGCGGGATCGCAATCAATGAAGGCGCCGTAATACACAAAGCCAAAAAAATTCTTAGCTTGCCAGCAGCGCGTTCGTTGCTTAAGTCTTTCGTTTATAATTGCGTTCACGTTTGGCGTTGGCGTTGGCGTTGCCGTCTCGCATAATTTGTTCGCATCTATGGCTTAGATTTCGTTTCCTACTCGCGCCAGCCCAGAGCCATGGCAAATTGCTTCCTTATTTGTGTGTACATTGTACCTATCCCCAGCAATGGTATTTGTTTTTCTTTTTTTTTTTTATTTTGTGAGCCCAACCAAGCGGCTAACCACACAGACACAAACACACATGCACATGACTGTATATATGTACACAGAAGTAGATATGCGGGTCTCTTGTTGTGTAGAGAAGTACTTATGCTAAGCTGATCTCAAAGCGGCATCGTGGAGCAAAGGCATAGAAAACTGTGTGAATTTATGTAAATTCTTGAGTTAGATAATATAAGCATTTTATGTATATACATATACGATAGTCTTAGGATATAAGAAGAGCTCTTCTTGTATATATTCGTATAGGATATTATCAGCTTTAATGAATTGATTAAGACCCAAGTCTGCCGTGTGAGTCACGCTCTGTATAAATCTTAAATTTCAGMCATATCAGATTACAGTTATACTGTATATTATAATTGGTATAATTGCATCCTATATATAACTTGAATAATATATAATTATGTCAGTTTCATAAATTACAATTATACGCTTAATCATCAGCTTGCCCCACTGTGCATAGCTGTAGTGAAAAATTGTCCGATGCTTCTATGTAGCAAATTTTGGGATCGCTGTGGGCGTTCAATTGGCTCCATACACAATTCGCTTGGCCGCCCTCTAATCTTATCGCCTCAAATTGATCTCGGCGGCGGGCGCTTAAGTGGCCTCAGCAGCAGCAGCAGCAGCAGCAGCGGCTAGCCGTGTGGTTGTTGTTGCTCTTAGAATCACCAAATTTGGGTGCGCCATAGCCATAACAATGGGGGTAGGCAGCTCTACTCCACTTCTGCCTCTCTCTCTCTCTCTCTCTCTCTCTCACTCTCTTTGCCTGTGTGTGCTTTATGTGGGGGGCTTAGATTCCAATGAACCGAGCTGCGCAATCTCTGCTGTCGCTGGCTGCCCTGCCGCTTATCGTACATCAATCAATCACACTCGACGACGCTGACAATCATTGGCCATTGGCTTATGGCATAGGCAAAAAAAAAAATAAATAAAAATCGTATATGCTGCGTCCCCTCATCCCTCCGCCTTCTAGCTACCAGCTGGCAGTTCGGCCTCTCGGCCACTCAATTAAACGTTAATGAAAACATATTTTAATGGCAATTGTTGGTAATTTGTTTGTTATTCGCTTGTCGTGTTTGATAAGTATTCATTTTTCATATCGATATCATATACGGGCACATACATACATACATATATGTATATGTATATGTATGTATGTAGGTATTTTCGTTAGGTTCTCTGGTAATTAGAATCGCTCAGCCTTGAGAGCATCGATTGTTGCGGCCGATTGCTTTTGATTGAACCCACATATGGCCAGCCAGCGTCTGGCTCTGTGTCCGTGTCCCTGTCGAACCGGATAAGTCCGTTTAAAATACACAATTTGTTCGGCATGTCCGAGTGATTGACTTGACTCGGCTTTGCTTGTTCGCCTCTTTGTTTTTGTTGACTTTTGTTTTCATTACCTAATCCCCGGCTTTATCTGTGTACTTGCCAGTGTTTCCATGTCATTCAACTGTCTCAATTTAGCTCCCTCCCTCACTGTCTCACTCTCTCTTTCTATCTCACCGCTGGCTTGACATTTCACTGGCTGTCGCTTGAAAGTCAAGGCCGTCATAAGATCAATCGTTAATGCCCAGTCAAGTGTCCATTTGGCTT